TTTCTCTCTGTTTTACTTTTTATTCAATCCTAGACAAATTCCCACTTTGCTTTTCCCACCTCTCTAATCTTCCACCAATGGAGTTCATGTAACCTCCTTTACGTCTCCTCCTTTGATTCTAATGTATACAATAAGCTGCAAAACTGCTATTTTCAGGAGCATTTTTCAATCCATTGGTATTTTGCTACTGGGCAATTGCCATCAGTTTGGCTTAAATAAATTCATTAAAAATTCTCTACAGGTTTGGACATTGCTTACATCAACAATGGTTTTTGTAAGTCAACAAAAACCAAAAATCCTCAGGATCCCTCGTTCTGGGTTGGAAGGTTGAGCTGCTCGCTTCAGTGGAGAGCAGGACTAATAAAACAGTGTTGGTCCGGTCAGGATAGGATAAAATATATAAAACAAAATGATGACACTCGTGTCAACCAAGACAGCTGCCAGTCAGCCACGACACTTTGGTTCAAGAAGGAAAATACCTAAGTCACACCAGACACATATGGCAAGGAGTGTTCAAAATATCTGTGCACAGGACCAGAACAGACATATCTGTAGAGGTGGAATACCCCAGGATAAGCCCACCTGGAATTCCCCAACCACTTATCATGGGTCCCAAGACACTTATTAAGGGACTCAGAAGGGTGGAGTACACTACGCTCAAGGGTATAACTGGGGTGGACTTCAGAGCCACCATGGAGGCAGCGAATCTCCCCACAGCAAGGCGCTGCTCCATGCCGTGATATGCTGCTGGAGGCTCTGCCCTGCTGGATTGAGAACTTTGTTTGCCCCACTGCCAGTCTGGCTCTGGAGATTCTGCCTTACAAGAGGCTGACAGCTCCCTGGCCTACTGTGCTGTCTCCTGGACCTGCAGGCTGGGACTCTAGGACTCAGGTTCGTTATCCCTCAATTCTCTTGTGTGATGTTATTACTGATTGCATCTGAGTGATTATTGTTATTAGGTTAGTAGGGATTTGGATTGAATCTGTATTAATAAAAGCTGAGTGAACAGCATAGTAACCTGTTATTTCTAAATAATTCCTATTATTTCTCAGTGCCAGTGTTACCTGTAGGACTGGTGGTTGTCTACATGGCTCGGTGCTTTCGGTTCTTAAGGCCTGGATCAGACGACCTGAGCGGGGACCAAAGGCTGGCTTATAGGAAAGACTATATGGTGAAACACATGCTCTTGACAGCTTCCAGGAGACAGTGGCAACCTGAGTCCAGTTATGTGATGGTTGTATGCACGGGGCCGGCATGGAGGCCCCATGTCTCACAGAATTGGTATCTGTGGGCCAGGGGGTGCACCTGGAGACCAACTCTCAGAGTATACTCCTGTTAGGTCATCCTCTCCCCTCTCTCCCCAAACATCACTCTGACCTCTGTCTGCTCTCCTCTGAGAGAACTCCTCCCTCTCAAACCGGGTAAGCACAGGCCAACAATGGCCACCGCAGGGGCCAGGGAAACTTCCTCCTTCTCCCATTAGTTCTTCTGGATGGTTGAAGGATTTGAAAGACACACAGCAGGTAAGAGGAGAAAATCAAATCTTAATACTTGTGCACCAGGAATTCACATAAACATACAAATTACAAAGACAGGCCCTGGCCAGGGAGCTCAGTTGGTTGGAGCATTGTCTTGTTATGTCAAGGTTGCAGGTTCAATTCCTGGTCAGGGCACATGCATTAGGAGGCAACTAATGAATGTATAATTGGGTGGAACATCAGGTTGTTTCTCTCTCTCTTCTCCCTACCCCTCTCTCTCTAAAATCAGTGAATAAAAAAATAAAATAAGAATTTAAAAAAATTTTAAAGACAGTAAGGCAAACTAAGGCATAATATATATGTTATTTTGGACTAAGAGGGGGAGGCAGGCAATTTACAGGTAGTTGAAAAAGATTGAACATTTGGTAAATACATTCTTACCTGGCTACCCACAAACAGCGGGACACAGAAGGGAACCTAGGAGACAGATTTTTCCTTGGATCCTCCCTGTCTGCCACACTTCATTCATATGTGCTAAGGTTCCCTTTCTGAAGCAGGTTTTTCTATCTGAATCTCTAGGCAGGAAAGGGGAAGGTAGCAAACTCTTCCTGAGTTTATTGGACTTTAATTGTTTTCTGTTTGAAATAGTCTGACCCACACGCCAGCAAGGGGCTGGGCAACCATTTCTTTATCCAAAAGCACTTGAAAATGCTGCAAGTATTCTAGCCATCTGGTAAGAAGCAGGATCCTTATATTCCACAAGCTCTGTGGTGACCTGCTGGGATACAAACCAGCGGGTACAGGCCAGTCAGTCTTCCCTCCTCACTTACCCCTCCCTGCCACTGAAGGCCTGTGCTAGGAGCAGGTTCTCCCCTTTGTGGCACTTGGTGGTTAGCTTTCCCAGGCAGGAGCCTCACTAGCTTATAATTACACACAGTGTTCTCTGATTGGTTCTCCCATAAGCAAGTGACACTTGTGAAGTACCTCACAGAAGCCCAGGCTACAAACAAACCCTTGTATGCATCAAACCCTAATGATACAAGAGACAACGGGGCCCACATACAGAGGCTGGTCAGAGGGCGTGCAGAGGAGGAAGGTCTCCAGAAGGGGGGCAGGATGGCCAGAATGGGGAGGGGGAAGAAGAAGAGAGTCCAGAGCGGAAGAGAAATTAAAATTGCCTCATTCATTCACTCCTCTAGTGCCAAACATACCATAATGATGCTGGGAGACACTGGCTGTGCCCACAGTCTACCTGGGGACACCACAAGTAAAGGGACAACTGCAAAGCCCTGAGATCAGTGAGGACAGAAATTCATGCCCCAGGCAGCAAAGAGCAGCTCTCCCAGTCTCGGGAAGGGCTGGGAGCTGTCACCGGGGAGAGAGGAGACTGGGCCAAGGCCCCGGGCAAAGGGAGGGGGCGGGGAATCCAGGGAGTGGAGCCTGGCAGAAGAGTTTATCTGCAGGCCTGGAGGAGGGCTGCAGTGCACAGCAGTCTTTCTAGGGCAGGAAATATCCCAGACAGGAGCAAGCAGGATCTGAAGGAGGGGGTCCAAGGGCTGGGAGAGGGCTTGTCCCATATGCTCCAGGCTGGTTGCCTGGGACCAACCTCATTCTGGCCTTGGTTTCCCTGCTGTGCCTCAGGGGAAAGAAGGCCAAGCCTTTGAGCTCTGAGGATAAAAGGCTCAGCCGGCCCAGACCACCACTCCCTGTAAAACAGGGTGGAGGATGCCTCCACTCTTTTTGCTGGTGAGTAGCCTGCTCATCTTTGAAGATGAAACGTGTTGGGGCCTAATGAGGAGTCAGTCGCCGAGGTGGGGGTGGGGATGGACTGCGGAGCCCAGCCACCTGCCCAGTCCGGTCACTTACTCCGCCTAGCCCCGCCAGGCCAGAACAGAACCTGGCCCAGGAGGACAGAACACTTCATTTGTTTGTGTCTTCCACAGCGCCTCCCACCGGCCTGGCCTGCTCCCTTCCCTGCGCTGCTCTGGGCCACCCCGCTCTCAGGCCAGGACCACACCCAGGAGGGCTCCCGCTACCTACAGCAGAGCCATCTGAAAGCCTCCTGTGCCCCTTCCGCTGCCCTGGACTGGCCTGCTTTAAACTTATGCCCTAGCGCAGGGTGCCACGACACCCCAGCTCCTTACATTTCCAGGCCCAATGGGTCATTTCCAATATGGCCACTGACCAGCGGGACACTTTACAGCTGCCTTTATGTGTGTGAGAACAGTACTCTACATAAAGGATACTGTGAGGTCAGGTCACAGGAGTAGTCCCAGGGCACCTGGAGGTCACACTTTTCACATACCGTGAACAAGGCACAGCCCTTCCTTTACCTCTCACCACTCTCCTTCTTCCTCCCCGGCCCCCCAGGCCTGGGCCTCGAACCAGTGCCCTACTCAGACAGACCACCCCCAGGCTACCCCCCCAACACTCCACTCAGCCTCCATAACCAGCCCCATTTTCCAGGAAATAGTCGGCACAGGAAAAAGGGACACACAGATGCCCACACACCCAGGGGAGGCAGCAGCCTGGTAACAATGGCAGGAACCGCAGACAAAGCTGAAAGACAACCTTCCTACACTTTCTAGAAGAGAGCACGCACCCGGGGGGTTCTCATATCTTCTAAATGGTCCATTTGTATTCATTAAGTAATTAATTCACTTATCTGATTTGCAGGATGATGCACAAAGATTAGACTTCTGAATTCTCTACACACAGTGTTCAAGTGAGCTTTTGGAATTACCACCTTCCTAAATTAGAAAGATGCCTATCTATGTTCCTCATCCTGAGTCCCCAGGCTGGGGTGCTCACTGGGATCCACCTGTGCTCCCCAGGAAGCCAGGACTGGGGATCCCAATGCGAAGCTCCCACGCCTACGCCTGCCTGGCCTTCGCGCCAGGGGCCACAGCCACACCATTACAAACCCCACACTTGCCGACTCGGGGCGACCTCGCCGCCCTGACTCCCGCCAAAGCACGGCTTTCAGGGAATCTGGGCAGTATCTGGAAAGCCAAAGAGGAAGAACTGCAGAAGGCCAAGGACTCAGGCTCAGTGATGACTTTGCTGAATAAGGACAGGGATGTTGGGCCCAGTGCTGCCCTCAGAGAACAGGGTGCCTCCCACGGCTGGACATTCCCCTGGCTGCGAACTTCAGGTCCCTTCCCACCACATCCCCCTCATCAGCATTTCTGCTCCTGCATCCTCTTCTCAACAGTGAGGTAAGACTACTGGCACACCCGTGGCCAGCAAAGCCATGCCAGGGGCACAGGGTGCAGCAGAATCCAGAGCAGGGCTGAGTAGACACTTGGCCTGATGCCTCTGCACACAGTGCCCCACAGCATGGAGCCTGGCAAGGAAACTAATCACAGGCTGTGCCCACACCGTGACTACCTACTGACCAGAGGGAGGCAGCTCGGGGGTCTCTTTCCCCTCAGGGCCCGCAGGGGTGAAGGATGAAAAGCTTTGCCTTACCCGCTTCTCTGGTGCAACAGCGGGGACAGGTGGGCAGGTGCTGGTGCTCACCTTGTGGTCTAGCTCAGCACTGGCTTTTGGCTGTTGCTCCTGGCACAGCAGTAAGGTCTCGGAGTCCAGGTACTGCCCAAGGGATGATGGCCTCATGAGGCTCAGGAGCCGGCTGAGCTCTACCAGCTGGGGAGAGGAAGAGAAGCCATTATTCACGACAGCTGAGTACTTGGGGCACCGCAGGGACTCTTGGCCTGGCTGTCTCGGCTGGCAGTGGTAGTTTAGAACATAGGCCCTGGAGCCAGGCCACCAGCTTCTAGAACCTGGATCCACCTCACTTGGAAGCTGAGTCTTATGTGTAAAATGGAGATAAGCACACACCTTCCTCCCAAGAAGGAGGTCACACAGTCACAGAGGGCCTGGTACAGGATGAGTCCTCCCTTAAAGGAGCGAACTAGGAAGAGCTCTGTGGGCTGGAGGTGGAATCCACTTGCCTGGAGTCAGTAGACATTTGCGGTTGAGAAGAACCAAAACCGGCACAGAGGCTCTCCTCTGATACCAGGAAGACCCTGCCTGCCCTGAGCTGCTGCTCTCTCTGGGGCCTACTCTCCCATGACCCTCTCCTTCCATTTAACTTATTCGTGTGGGGCCTGAGCACGGGCTCAGGGAGGAAGAGAGGTTGTGTACAGCCCTCCACACCTTTTCCTGGGAACAGTGACTGACCACATCATCATCACGCTGTTACTGGACAAGAGGCCTGGCCTGGAGCGGGCGGGTCTGCCTAGGTCCAGCTCTAGTGTGTGGGTTCTTGACTTTGTGTAAGGAAGATTTCACACGAATCCAGGTGACTATGAGGATACATTTATTAAATCTGGGGACAGTGAAGCAAGGAAGAGCTTAGCATAGAGGAAGTTACCGGAGAGCCTAGGCTGGGCTGCCTTAGCTCACTGGGGAGTCAAAGAAGAGGGAGCTTTGGGGACAGGTTCAGGGAATAAGCCTGAGACAAACTGCCAACTGCCCATTGCCTTAGGGTTTAGGAGACAAGTGTCTGTGGGGAAAGAAGCGGGGTGGGGGGGGCGGGGGAGAAGGTAAAGGAAATGGCGAGGGCTGCTCCCCAGAGGGAGAGGGCATGCTGGGTCCTTTGTCTAGAATATACATCAGTTCTCCAGGTGAGCTCTTTCAGAGTCATGGTCTCCACTGATCGGTCAGTGACAGGGGAGGGGGTCTGTAGCTGATCACGTCACCCATGTGCTTTTGCTGCTTTTCTGGACCTGGAGCTGAAATACAGCTGAGGCCCAAATGTTATATCCAGGGAGGGAAGGCCAGGGGAGAAGTGGTTACCCTGGGGGCAAGGTCCTTGTTTTCCCAGTTTCGCCCCCGGCCAGGCACTCGGGGCCTTCTGCCCTGGTGACCATGGGCACCTGGCTGTACGGAAATTGCTCGGCCATTGTGCTCAGCTATATGTCTTTCTCTATTTCACTTGCCAAGGAATTTTCCTAGCTTCTTACTATCCTGTCGCAATGCTGCCTGCCCTGTTTCATCCTCCCACTCCCCCATTTTCCTTCCAGAGGATTTTAAAGCAAATCCAAGTATCATACCATTTTACCCATAAAGAGCTTCTAACAATAAAGGATAAGGATTTTGCCCCTAAACATAATCACAGAACCATTCTCTTGCCCAATAAAATTACTAAGAATTAATTCCTCATATGATCTAACGACTGTATTGTTTTCTCTGATTGTCTCAAATATATCTTTCTATAGTCGCTTTGTTGGAATGGGGATTCCCCCACAAGGTCCACACCTTGAATTTGGTTGAAATGTCACTTAATTTGCTAGCTGCATCCCCCAATTTAAACTGCTCATTCTCTCTGAACAAATGGGCCAGTGTTCCCCACCCTCTGGACCGCGGTCCGTATAAGTCCAGGTGTCTGCAGCAAGCAATTCTTCCTGCCTAGCCCCTGCGCCTGGTTTGGACACCCTCAGCCAAGCCCCAGCAACGACCACCCAGCTGCCCTGAAGCTAACTTGTGGCAGGGCAGGCAGGCAGGCTCCGAGTTCCTGGCCCCTCTGAGGCCACGTGCAGCCCTGGGGAGGGGTGGTGGTGGTGCAGTGCGAGGGAACAGAGCCCGGGGAGTTCACAGAGGCACCATTTCCTCAGAAGTAGCAGATGCAGGGTGGCCAAAAGGACAAGGTCTCTAGCCCCAGAGCCCAGATCCCTGCTTGAGCCCAGCCCTGCCCAGCACACCTGGCTTTCTCCCTCTGACTCACCCTCAGACACCTGCTCAGCCCCTCAGTGGCTGCGGGCTGAGACAGCCCAGACGAGCAGCTGGGCTGAGGGCTAGGAGTCAGGCCTGAGTCCTGGAAGGGAGCCAGGCTTTCCTGGCTTAGTGTCTGATCCCGTCAGAAGGGGAGAGGAGGAGGCAGGGAGAAAGAGGGAAGGTTCTGGTTGAAGAGAGGCACCATCTGGAGCTTCACCAAAACCAAGTGTGCCGCCTGGCTCAGTCCTTGTAAGTCTGGGGATAGTTTTCAAAACAGCCTTTCCTGTTCAGGGCTCACAACTGCAGCCAGTGCCCCCAGAAGCAGCCCTCGGGCAGGCAGCCTCGCCTCAGCTGGACCCTCCCTGACAGGAAGCCTTGGGCCGGGCTGGGTGGAGGAGCACACAACATTCCGTGTTTTCCCTCTCACTCTTTGAAAACAGCTCCACTCTGCTCGGTGCAGCAGCGGGCCACAGCGAGCCTTCCCCTCCTGATCGCCCATTCTCTTTTGGTCCCAGCTCAGCCATTGCCTCTCTCTCCAGGACAAGGGCCTGTTTGGGCTCTGTGGGTCCTGCCTGGGCCTGGGTCTGACCAGCACGTCTCCCCACCTTGCCCCTATTTCCAGAAGCCGGCTCCATAAACCTCTAGGCCAGAAGCAAATGATCACTCCAGAGGGCAGGTTTCCACTGGCAACAGTCTGCCTGGCAAGAGGAGGCAGGCCAGTTCCAGGGTGGGCACTGCCCACCCAGCCAGTCGCTGTTGCCCTCAACCCTGACTGCTCTCCCACTCCTCCGAAGGAGAAGGCCAAGATCTTACCTGCTTGCGACGACCCAGCCGCCCTGGCTGCTTCCAGGAGCCCGTACCCTGAGTAGTCATTCCGACCAGACATCGCACAACTGCCCCTCCCCTTCTCCCAGCCCCAGCTCCAAGCCCACCTGCATGGTGAGGCCCCCCCAACCCCCCAGCTCCCCTCAGCCCTCCAGCCCACACCATCCCACTTGTCAATCCAGACTCTGCTCTGCTTGTATTTCCACAGCATCTATCTCCTTCAAACAGGCTGTGTAACTTACTTGTTTAATATCATCTGTTCCCCTTTCCCTTATTAGAATATAAGCCCCAAGAGGGCAGTTTCATTCATTGCAACGTCCCTAGAGCCTAGCACAGTGTCTGGCACACGGCATACGTTTAATCCATATTCATCCTCGTAAATAGCTGGGCATGGCCGCAGCTAGCCTTTCCCTCGTAGGTGCAAACCTGATCTCCCTTCAGCCATCTGAAGCCCATGTTTTCCAAACTCCAACCTGGAAGGCATGGCTTGACAAAGGAGGGTTGCTGGGTGACAAGCAGTGGCCTGAGACAAGAAACAAACTCTGACTTCCCTCCGAACCCGTCCCACCTGTGCCTTGCCTGTCTCAGTCAAGTGCCTCTCCGCCCTGCCAGAGGGTCATATCTTGGAGTCCTGCTTACCTCCCTCTTCTCGCGTCCCCGGTCCCAATGGCTGTCTTTGGGAAACACACCAAGACTCTGACCACCTCTCGTCACGTATGCCACCATTTCCCCAGGCCAAACTGCCATCTGCCACGGCTACTGTCATTACCTCCTTCCTCCCCACCCCCAATAGTCTATTCTCAATACAGCAGCCAGAGAATATTGTAAAAAATTTTATAAACAAATTCTATTTTTTCTTTTAAAACTTTCCAATGAATTTCCACTTTGGCCTGAAAGTCAAAGCTCCCACCATGGCCTGGAGGTGCTGGAGGACTGAGTCCTCACTTTCCTCTCCACCTTCCACTCCTGCTCCACCCTCAGCCTTCTGCTCCATCTCCACCGGCCTCTGTTTTTTCTCTAACCTAAGAGAGCTTTGCCTGCCTCAGGGCCTTTGCACTTGCTGTACCCTCTTCCCCCAGAAACCTGCATGACGTCTTCAGGTCTGTGCTCAAATGTCCCTGTTCGCCCCTATAGACAGCACCCTCCCGACACTCCATCTCCTCTTTATCTTGCTTTCTTTTTCTCCCTAGCACTTATCACAACCTGGCATGCCAAATATTTATGTCTTCCTCAGTCCCCGTGTCCGCCTCCCCTGGACCATGAGTTTCGTGAAGGAGGGACTGAGTTCTGCTTAGGACTGTATCTTTAGTGACCTGGGAAGTGTCTGGACCATACTAATGCCTCAGGCCAAAACTCTGCTGTTCCCGCAGTAGTCCAGGGAGTCACAGGAACCCCAGGAGGCAGTGTGACCATGGACCTTTCCTGGAAAATGCAAGTCTTGGTATTGTTGTGTCCTGACCACCTGCAGGAGTCCTGATCCTCAAGTTCCATTGTCTAGCACCTGCTCCTGCTCCTGCTCCCAGGGCCACAGACTGCAGCCTGAGATGGGGAGCCAAGTGATGCAGTCACCAGGGACTTCTGCCCAGTGGCACCCTGAGAATTCTTTGCCCAGAACTCACCCCAGATCCTCTCCTCCCACAGAGTCGATCCTCAGCCCTTGCAGCCCCCTTCTTCGTGAATCAGTCAGTAAGGTTTATCAAGCTCTGGTTTACTGATGGAGAGTGAGGAAGGGATGGCCCCTGCCTATCTGCATCCAGGACTAAAGCACAAGGGACCAGCAGGACACCTGCAGCATGAAGCCACAGGTGTGGTCCAGGCTGTCGCCACAGTGAGAGCCAGGGGAGTGGTTGGGGCGGTGCCGATGGCTTGCTGCAGGGTCAAGGGCAGGACTCTGTAGCCAGGGCCTCTGGGCTTGAATCCCAGATGCACAGCTTTGTTGCTGTGTGACCCTGAGAATTTTCCTAACCACACCTGCCTTGGTTTCCCCATCTGTAAAAGATGGATGACAAACAGAGTCCTTACCACCTGGGGCTGCTGTGCGAAAGAAGTGAGCTTTGAGATTGGCCCTGGGACACAGCCAGTGCCAGCTGGCATGTTAGCCACCACTATTCAGTTGGGAGTGATGGGTGAAAAGGAAGAAATGTCAGTACACAGAGCTGTGTGCAGAGGTGCGGAGCTGCCCTGCAGAGCGGGGTCAGGGAGAGGAACGGGCTGCACCGGCAGGCTGTACAGAGAAGCTGGGAGAAGGCGTGTGGGCTGAACATGGGCAGCTGTGGGGCTGAGGTGCTCTTTGAAGGCGTGTTTCATGAGGATCTGTCTGACAAGCCAGACTGGACAGGGGAGTGCCTGCAGCGGGAGACGGGGAGGAGGCCGGGCAGCAGCCCGGGGCTGCAGTGAGTAGAGCTGGGGAAACACACGGAAGGGGAAGGCTGTGGGCAGGCCTGAGCTGGTCTTTCCTCCCCCGGAGCCACCAGGAGTCTGACATGGCTCTGCACAGCTGTCCTTCCCGCCTGCAGACCCTTCTCCTCAGCACGAGCACGGACTCAGCCTTCAAGGCTTCGCTCAGGACACCGCTAGGAGCCGCTGCCTCAGCCCGCCCTGCTCACACCCTCTCCTCTGAGGGCGTCTCCTGGCGCAGAGTCTGCAGGCCTCCCATCACGCTCCTCTCACTGACCCGGGCACAGGCCCTGGTCACTAAACAAACCCCCAAACTTTGGATTGACCCTGACTCTGGAGTCACCCTCTGTCTTTCCAGTCACTGCCAAATGCTGCTGGTGGGTGGCTACCCCTACTCACCACCCACCACCCGCAGCTGGTCCTCCCTTTCCTGGTCTTGGCGCGCTAGCCCCTCGCTGTACTCTGCTGACATTGAGCTCTGTTTTTGTGGGGCTCCATGATCCCCCAACCCCAGCTGACACCGCTACCGCTCTGCCAGGTGGCCCCCTGGAGTCCTTTGGGACCACTTGGCCTTGTCCTCTGCTTTCCCCTCTCTGCACCCCTGCCTGCCCTTAATCACATGGCACCCCCCACTGTCTGGTCCCTCTGCTCTTCTTCAAAGAGATGTCTTCTCATTAGGCTGTCACTTCTGTGAAGTGACCCCTGTGCAGGCCACTCCCACACCCGCCCCTCCCAAGGTCTCTGCCTGGAGAACGTTCCCTTTGCACACATATCGGCAACTCGCTTCTGCAAGTGTGCACCCACAAGTGTGCACTCGCAGAGTTCCTGGGCGTGCCCAGCACTGTGCTGGGCACCAAAGGGCAGCAGCAAGCAAAGGCTTTTGATCCCTGGCCTCAAGGAACTGCTGGTGTGCATGCATGTGTGTGTACTGTGTATATGTGCACACAGACCCTGAACAAACAAAAGAAAATATCAGAAGGTGAACACCATGAGTAAGTAAAGAACTGGGTGACAGTGGCAGGGTTGGGTTGGGTGTTCAGGAAAGACCTTCTGGAGGAGGTGACACTTATGCCAGAGTTGGAATGACAAGAATCTCTAGCCATGCTAAGCCTGAGGGGAAAGGCATTTAAGGCAAAGGGGACAGCCTAGGCAAAAGCCGGGACAGCCTAGGCAAAAGCCAGGCCAGGCCTGCTCTGACAAGCCAACCTGACTGCTCACCTTTCTGAGCTGCCTCCTTGCAATGTCAGACTCAGCCATATTGTCCACCTGCCCCAGAATGTGCTGGAACATTCTCTCAGCACTCTGGGCCAGGGGTTACACAGGCTTGTCCAGTACACCTTTAGTGGCCAGAGGCACACAGCCTTTGGGAAGGCCGACCTTGCCTGTGTCAGTGGCTGAGCTAGAGGGTTCAGCTGTATCCAGCACTTGTTCTGGGATTGCAGGGAGATCCTTGGGCAGGGGACAGCGTTCTCAACCTCCCCACAATACATCCTGATGCTGGCCACCCCCGGGGTCCGTGAAGGGGTGTTCTTTGAGCTGCAAGGGGGTTGTAATAAGAGCTTTCTGAAGAGCAGAGGAACTGGGAAAAAGATAAAACTCTTCCTCCCCACTGACTCAGGAATGTCCAGCACTGGGACAGAGGGACAATGAAAGGGAGCAGTTTCAATCAAATAGTGTTTGTTTTCCACCCATAAAAAGTGATATAATCAGAGGCTGCAGGAGGAGGGGATGGGGACTGAGTGTTTCAGGGGTACAGTTTCTGTTTAGGAAGATGAGAAAGTTCTGGAGACGGATGCTGGGGATGATTGCACAACATTGTGATTGTGCTTAAGGCCCCTGACCTGGACATTTCAAAATGGTTAGAACTCTATACTTCAAACGACTAAGATGGTTTAAAAAACAGTTGAAATGGTAAAGTTTATGTTAGATATATTTTACCACAATTAAAAAAAAAGTAATATATGCGCCCTGCTCCCCAGTCTACCCTCAGAGCCTAGCACATAGCAGGCATATGAGAAAAAGTAATTGTTCAATGTAAGTATATGAGTGAAAAATTCAAACTTGGTCTGGGTCTCCTTGACCTGAGGCTCCTAACCTTTGGGAAAAGCGTGGGGACAAGAAGCAGGCCATGGGGAGAGCTGTTCACTGGCCCGCAGGCTTCCCAGCCCCCGACAGACACAATTCATGGAGACACAAACTCACCCGGGCCTTCTCCTGCCAGAGAGAGACGCTCTCCTGCTGGTCTAGCAGCCGGGCAATGACCACGAGGCTGAGCTGGCTTCGAAGCTGCCTGTGAGAGACGAGGGGAGAGAGGCTGAGGGCGTGACATTCAGAGGAGGGGTGTGGGCATCTACATGGGGTAGGACAAAGGAGAGCCACTCTCTGTCTGACGTACTTGGGCTTTTTTCCTCTGCTTTACAGCATTTATTTTTGAAATTACTTTTATTTATTGATTTTTAAAGACAGAGGGGGAGAGAGAGAGAGAGAGAGAGAGACATTGACTTGTTCTACATATTTATGCATTCATTGGTTTCTTCTTTTATGTGCCCTGGCCAGAGATCGAACCCAGAACGCTTGCGTATTGGGACGACACTCTAACCAACTGAGCTACCTGGCCAAGGCTGCAATTATTTGTTTTAGAAGTCATCAAGCGTGCATAATGGGGAAATTAAAAAATAAGCAAAAAGAAAAATTAAAGTAATTGTAATTTCAGAAGCTAGCTTTGTAATGTTACTCCTTCTCAGTCTGTTTTTCTCTCTCTACCCTTATACTTACCTGAGGGTACACAGAGATAGGAAATGATCAATCCCTTTGCTCAGACCTTTGCATTTTCCTTCCTTTGCAGTTAGAACCTTTCAACCCACGCAGGGTAGTGGAAAGTGGGTCACCTGGAGCAGCGGAGGCCTAACTTTGTTGTTGTTTTTCATTCAGCCAGTTACTTCCTTTTGGAGAACCACCGCCGCCGCCCCCGCCCCTCCCCGCCCCATCTGCCTGGGCTCTCCAGATGGGCACGTGAGCCAGGCCTGGCCCAGCACAGGCCCTGTGAGTGAACAGCTGAGCGGTGGCCTGGGGAGTATTCGCTGGAACTATCAGCAGGGCCACTACCTTGGCGGGAGGTGGGTCCTACAGCTGCTGGTGGCCATCCTGCCTCCTTGTGGAAGAGCCTGAAGGATGAAGCGGACTGGATGGAGAGAGAACCCCCGACAGCACCCAGGGCCTGCCGTGCCAGAAGCCTCCAGGCCTGGACCATTTAATCGGTAGGTCAGTTGGTTGGTTGTATGAAACAATAAAGTCCTTTTTGTTTGAGTCAGTTTGAGCTGGGCTTCTGATTCTAGCACCAGTCTTGATTCATTCATGACAGGGCTGGTGTCTCCTCTCCTCAGGTGTGAAGACCTCTGATGTGAATTTAAGATGCTAATGTGTGGGGCTCTGATTTTCAGAGTCCTTAAGGGCTGGAGTAAGTAAAAAGAGAAATGAGGAGGGAAGTCGTGACCAGAGGCTGGAGAAAGATGACGGGAAGAGGGGTTCAGGGCCCCTTCTTGCCCACACTACCCCTGCCACAGCCTCCGCCATGCGGTTACATCTCCGTGCGCCATCATACACTTGTTGCTCCCCTACGGGCCGCAGACGTCAGCACCTAGCATGCCCTTTGGTGTGGCTGCAGTCCCTAATTCCTATGGAAAGCCACCACCAGGGGAAGCAAAGGAGAGGTCCTGAAGCTGGAGGAAACTACTGGGCTGGAACTGGCTCCTTAGAAGACCACCCTCAGGTGACAACACTGCGGCGGGATCCCACAGCGCGCAGACGGACTGACACCACAGGCACTGAGGGAGGGAGGGGATATGGGGACAGCAAGCTGCGGGCAGCACTCAGAAATGATGTTTCCCTAGAGAAGTGCTTCAGGGAGCAGGACCGAGCCATCCCTCAGCTGGTGCTGAAAGCTCCCCTGCCCCCTCCACCCCTGGGCCTGAGCTGCCCAGGCCCCCCATGCTGCTGGGGACTGCGGCAGGGGTGGGGGGCAGGGGAGGGGCCCTGGGCAGGCTGGCATCTGAACCAGCTGCTTCATTTATTTTCTTCAATAGCACTTAGTCAAGAAAGTCAAAGGAATCAACAAAGCAAGAGGCTCTTGATTAAACAAAGAAAAAAGGCAGCAGCAGGCAGTACCACTACACACCAGGATGAACAGAAAAAGGAGGGGAAGGCCCAGCCCTGGGAGGGGCTCATGTACAGCTGGTGGGAAAGTACATTGGTGCCTCCACTCAGTAAACTGTTTGGAAGATGTACTAAAGCTGTCCACATGCCTACCTCCTGACCCAGCAGTCCTCCTTCTAGGTACTTACCACAGAAACAAGACAGGCAGAAAGAAGCACAGTACCACTGAAATGGATAAACAGATCCACACGACTCAACCCTGCGCAGAATGACCATAAACGACCTACAAGCACATCCAACAGCAGGGACGACCTTCTCGGTGTTGTGTGAAAGAGGTCAGATACAAAAGAGTGCATGTGTATGATTTCACCTACATAAAGAACAAGAACAGGCAAGTACCAGCTGATGGAGGTGGGGATACTGGTGACACATGGGGGGAGCAGGCTCTGCTCACGTCTCATTTCTTGACCTGGGCGCTGGTTCCATTCCACATGTGTTTGACTTGTGGAAATCCACTGAGCCATACACTTAGGTCTATGTTCTGTTCTGTTCGTGCGTGACAGTTCAGTAAAATTATTACTTAAAGAAGGAATTCAATTGGGAAAGGAGACAGGATTGTCAGATTTGGCCAATAAAAATATAGGATGCTCAGCTGAATTTGAATTTCTTACAGATTAACAGAGAAGAATTTTTTAGCATAAATTTCTACCATGCCATATTTGCATTTTATCTGGCAACCCTGGGAGGGTCTGGCCATCCCATCTATCCTTGACCTGGAAGACTTGACCTTAGCCAGCGTGGGGACTTCTCTTACCCTGTCTCCTGTTAGCCTTGACCCTTTGTTGCAGAATGCCTCGGCATTCCCACCCCACCTTACGAATCCTGAGGAGAGGCAGCCCCATCTGGACTGTACCATGGACAGAAAACAGGAGGTCCTCATCCTGGGGTGCCCCACCAGCTCTACCTTCCAGTTTTTCCTTGGGCTCTGGTCCCATCACATACCCTGCATGGATTCCCCCTCACAGTCAGTCAGGACCTGCTCTCCAGCTGTTCCCGGGAGCCCCAGCAGCAGCTGGGCCGGGAACACAGTGGGAGGTAAATGGCCCTTCTGAGCTGCTGCTCTGAGCAAACTTGCAGCCAGCATCAGAAGTACTGCATCTGGGTGTCAGTAATCCAAGCCAGGACTGGGAAGAGCTCCTTTATCACAGTGGGCAGGCAGGGAGGGGCCAACCTGGGGGTAGGGGTGCTGATGGGCGAAGGAGCAGAGCCAGGGTGGCTCCAGAAGGGAAGAGGAAGGCTGGTGGGCCAGGACAGGGCTGATGTCCAGAAATGAAGAAAAGCACCAGAAGCACCGAGGGTGTGAGTGGATAAAAAGAAACCCACATCTGAGGGTAACACTCCCCCTTGCTGTCTGCCTGCCCACCGCCTTTGATCCTAATGGCTCTCCCTGCCTTTTAAACACAGTCCCCTGCACTCTCAGTTCCCACAGGGAGAGGGGACAGGACCACTTTTTAATTTTAGACTGAAAACTCACTCTACAGAGGTGAAAAAGAAAAGATGCACCCCAAACACCACCCAGACTGAGCTGGGGACAGGCAGAAGGCCAGGTCCCGCTGAAGTTGGCCTGGGCTCCTCCTTCCGGAAAGCTGCCCGACCCCACCCAGCAAAGCCTCCCCGGAACTCAAACCAGGCAGACAAAGGAGGATGCAAAAGCCACTGGAGCCATCCCAGTCACTGTCATATAAGGCAAGGCTCCAGCCCTACCACTCACTCGCAGCAGGCCAGGCCTCTGCCTTCGCCCTGCCTCCGCCACTCCCACAGGCCTCCCTAAGACCAGGACACTGGATTAGCACTCAGAGGAGCCCGAAGTGCTGGGAAATTTGGAGATGATTTTTCTAAACAGCCAGCAAAGCCGGGAAGTGGAATGCAGGCACACGGCTTCCTGGTCTCTGGGCACCCCTTCGCCTCCTGCAAGGGGCAGCTTAGCTGGCACCCTGAGAGGCCGGCGGGACAGCTGCGCAGTCAAGGCTGCCCGCAGTCTTCACTCCTTCGGAGGGGAACCGGGCCTGCCAAGACTGAACTACCCTAAAAGGCCATCAGGCATCTGGCCAAAGGCATGAGCTGCCTTTTTTACTTCTCTAGGGCAGCTCAGGAAGAAGCAACAGTGGCCGGTTCCGCCTGTGGAAATGCAGCCCAACACCCTGCCTCGGGGCATCAGCCTCTCCGGGCAGTCCAGGCTTTACTCGTGGCCACTGCTGTCTCCCATACTGCCTGCCCTCAGTTCTTCCCTTGGAGTCTTCCGTCCTGCCTGTGAGCAGTGAGTGCTACCCGGGCAGAAAGGACTGAGGCCTGGGTTAAGAGACGAGGCCTACCTTCTCCGTGGTCTCCAGTCATCCACACACAGGATGGGGTACTCTTGTGTACGGGCATACATAGTGGGCCGGGAAGAAGGCGCAGGGTACAGACAGCCACAGGCCTGTTCATCAAACCACCATGTGGCAACAAACACGGAGGGTCTACCCTCTTCCACAAGGACAAAATGCACAAAGTGCTGACACTCCACCAGGACAGGAGGGGCAAGAGAGAACTCTGCATGGTCCCATTTTTGTACGTGTTCCAAATCACACGAAACACTCTGTGTGATGGAAGTCTGGGAAGGGTTTTCTTTGCAGAGGAAACACCTGGGAGAGGCCTGAGGGGGCTTTTGGGAAGCAGGTGACAATGACAGTCTCTCCTGGGATGTAGTGGTGGTTATACAGACGGTCCCCTTTGCAAAGTAAGCTGCATGTCTGCCCCTGATGGGTCCTTTCTTCTATGCATATTATAACTAAATAAAAAGGTTACTACTATTTAGAAATTAATGCAGTTCATATAGACAATCACAAGGCAAGTTCCTCTCTCCTCCCCACCCTCCCACTCTCTTTCTTTGTTTTTGGTATTATAACCTTAGACTTAGAAAACACCTTAAAAGTCACCTCCTCTAACATCTCTCTATTCACCCACATACTTGAGGGACGTTGCCCTGTTTCCTGGGCCACACTTTAGAGGTGCTCCAGCCACAGTTTTCTATCTGTTGCCATTCTGGGTTGGGTCCTCTGAGGGCCCTGGGGGTTGTCAAACATTCCAAGCCGGGGAGAT